TTTTGCTAAGTGGGCAGTGATATGGGTCAACTGCCATCGCTTGGAGTACTGGACCCATCACACACACACACACACACACACACACACACACACACACACACGCACACACACACACACACACACACACCACCCAACCCCAACCACCCCARCACACCAACGGTGTTCGAAGTTCTCCCTTGTAGGCAATCTTCACGGTAACCTTTTGGAGCGGCCTTCGGTCAGCAACTTAGAATAAACTCCGGGTTTGTTCGAGTGCTCCGGGCCCATCAACATGCAAATTGTGCGCTTGATTATGGCCACTGCATAGTTCGTAGTGAGCGGGATAGGTACTTCTTAGGGGACCTTGTGGTCGTGTTCAGAACATACTGGCACTAGATGCTCACCAAGCAGTTCTGGATGTCGGTTATATCGACACATCATAAGATGCCTTACCAGCAAGCAGCGGCTGCTTGCAGGACCTTCTACCTGGTACGGATCTTTGAGAGCAGAGTTTCGCACTCCACCGTGAGATCCACGTCGGATAGGTGGACCTGTCATCCTACCGCTGTTAGCTGTAGTCATCTTGAGGTAGTCGATGAGGTGAGGACCCGACAAAGAAAACTCTCAGTGGACTTTGCTGCCGTGTTTTTGGAACTTATTGGCGTAGCACTAGATGCTCACCGAACAATTCTGGATGTCGGTTATATCAACAAATCATAAGAAGCCTAACAAGCAAGCAGCGGCTGCTTGCAGGACCTTCTACCCGGTGTGGATCTTTGAGAGCAGAGTTTCGCACTCCACCGTGAGATCCACATCGGATAGGTGGACCTGCCATCCTACCGCTGTCAGCTGTAGTCATCTTGAGGGAGTCGACGAGGTGAGGACCCGGCAAATAACACTGTCAGGGGACTTTGGTGCCATGTTTGGAACATATTGGTGTAGCACTACATGCTCACTAAGCAGTTTTGGATGTTTGTCATATCGACACATCATAAGATGCCTTACAAGCAAGCACCGGTTGCTTGCAGGACCTTCTACCCGGTGCGGATCTTTGAGAGCAGAGTTTCGCACTCCACCGTGAGATCCACATCGAGTAGGCGGACTTGCCATCCTACCGCTCTTGGCTGTAGTCATCTTGAGAGTCGACGTGGTGAGGACCCGGCAAAGAACACTCTTAGGGGACTTTGCTGCCGTGCTTGGAACTTATTGGGGTAGCACTAGATGCTCACCAAGCAGTTCTGGATGTCGGTTATATCGACGCATCATAAGATGCCTTACAAGCAAGCAGCGGCTGCTTGCAGTACCTTCTACCCGGTGTGGATCTTTGAAAGCAGAGTTTCGCACTCCACCGTGAGATCCACGTCGAATAGGCGGACCTGCCATCCTACCGCTGTTGGCTGTAGTCATCTTGAGAGTCGATGAGGTTGAGGACCCGACGATGTTCCAATTGGGACGTGCTCTTGTTTCGTGATGTGCATGTGCTTACCGGCGGTGCGTTCGGTCCCCTCCTCGACGTGAAGCAAAGTGCGAGGGAATTGCTCAGGGCTCACACCAGAAGTGCGATTGAACTCGCACTTTGATGGAGAAGCAGTTGCGCAGTCCATCAGCGCGACGATTTAATATGGACATTGGCTTGTCATTTCTATATCACAGGTTGAAAATGCAATTAAATTTTTATGTGTAGAAGATTCATATCCATTCACACAAGTATCTCTTGTCATCGCAAACATCGAGATGAAAACATCTCAAGTCAAATTGCAAAGCACACAGAGACATCGCAAACATCGAGGTGAAAACATCTCAAGTTGCGCACTGTTTTTCCAAAGGTGAAGTCTCATCAGAGGAGACGATCAGTTTTCAGAAACCATTCTATGCAAAAAATTCATTCAAGGGCAAATTGCAAAGCACAGAGACTTTCCAAATTGAACGCAAAATATCATACAATCCCACATTGCAAAGTGCACGGAGACTTTCCAAAAATCACAAAGTACATGGAGCCAAAGTGCGAATATGTTCTCATTTCCCATATGGAACCAACAGTTCAATCACAAATGCACAGCATCCAAAGTGCGAATATATTCGCATTTCTCATACGAAAACAACAACCAGCATCCAGTGGAGAGCACGAGATGTATTCCGGGGATAACAAAATTGGCAATCATTTAATGCACCACTGAATCCGTTAAACAACTTCAAGCACAAGTCAAATTGCAAAGCACACAGAGACATCGCAAACATCGAGGTGAAAACATCTCAAGTTGCCTAGTGTTTTTCCAAAGGTGAAGTCTCACAGCACATGAATAGGTACCAGAAACCATTCAATGCAGAAAATTCATTCGAGGGCAAATTGCAAAGCACACAGAGACGTTTCAAAAAGTCATTGAACGCAAAATATCACACAATCGCACATCGCAAAGTGCACGGAGGCTTTCTAAATATCACAAAGCACATGGAGTCAAAGTGCGAATATGTTCTCATTTCTCATATGGAACAAACAGTTCAATCACAAATGTACGGCATCCGAAGTGCGAATATCTTCGCATTTCTCATACGGAAACAACAACCAGCATTCCGTGGAGAGCACGAGATGTATTCCGGGGATAAAAAAATTGGTGATCATTCAGTGCACCGCTGAATCTGTAAAACAACTTCAAGCACACATACATTCTGGCGACAATTGGTTTCCGAATGGAGAATAAGTTCGCAACTGTCATAAGGAACCAACAGACGACATTCAATCGAGACAAGCAGAGGGGGTGAACCGTAAAACGGGGCGGCACACGCAGAACAAGGGCGAGCCAAAACATATGACAGCTGGTTGGTCGGGGTGGGGCGGGGGAGAGGGACTTTCACACCACAAAGTCTCGCGAACGAAAGAGATAAGCACGAAACAATTTGGCGACCAAGAATAGATCGTCGATATCTTTTACATGAGTAAAAGAGGAGCACAACCTCGAAACGAACAAACACAGAACGGTGCTGCCGCGGTCTGAGAGGACATAAGGAGAACAACCCGAAAATAAACAAAAGGAGCACAAAGTTGAGATATTCACATCCGATATGTAAGCGTCTACTTAAAAGGAACTGCACCACATGGCTGGGATATTTATATTGGTATCTGAGCTTCTACTTCACGTAAGCGTCCGCTGCTACCCTCTAGCTGATGTTGCGCGGCAAGCAATGAGAACAACCCGAAAACAAACAAAGGAAGCACGGCGCTACCGAAAGTCCTACGAGTAAAGACAACAGGTTCCACGAAATGAAGAAAGCTTAAAAAATTGATACAGCACGAGGCTGGGATATTCACATCGACACCTAAGCCTGTACTTGACCAAAACGTCCACTGCAATCCGGCACCTCATGAAAACCACAGCACAGCTCGAACCGGCTGACTGCTAGATCAAGTGGGAATAGATTCGCACTTCTGCTTATGGCCTTTCGAAAAAGAACTACGCGTATTTTAACAACAGGGGTATTATTCAGAGCCTTGGAGTATGTCCACCGCAATCCTCAGCCTAATGTTTGCAATGTCGCTTTGGGCTATCGGAAATGGTGGCGGATAGCCGCGTGCAAGAAAAGAAGAGAAGGCGAGCATGAAAACACCGCAGCTCGACCCGTCCGACTGTTGAGGGACACCATGAGCAACCACCTTGGGCGACGGGAGATCCAGTTTGGCTTGTTCACCATATCGACAAACCGCTTCGTCACGGAGGTATCGTGTGAAGTTCGCAAGCACATCGGAAGAAAAAACGCCATCGTCTTGCAGGAGGGAGTCGTAGTACTCGAACCCTTGTTCTCGGACACATAATAGGGTCCAATGCACTCGATTTTTATGGACAGGAATCAAGATCATGCCGTACGAGAAAAGATCCACATCTTTTGTCCATTTCGTAACCCTTTCATGTCGATAGCCGCCACCGACGAGCTTGGTATAGAAAAACGGACTGAAAATGTAAAGAGAGGGACCCCCAGGGAACGCAGCGTTGGCAAGCAAGGCCAAGTACGACGCCACCACCTCGTCGGAAAGCCATCCCCCCTGGACAAGAGTTTGAAGACTTTTTCTGGTCAACGAAATCGAACTGGGACCTCTGCGAACCGAGGAAACCACCTCCTGACCGTTGCTGAAATCTCCGTAGACGTCCTGCAACATTCTGAAGTCCGTAGCGCTAAGCTCCTCAGTAGGCAAGGGAACGAGAAAACATGATGTAGCCCCAGCTGCACAAACACCCACGAACAAGTGTGAGGAGTAAGTACAAACCCCGGGGCGGAATGACTAAGAACTGTCTGCCCTTTTCCCAGAAAAGTTCTATCCCCGACTGTTGAATGTGTCCTTCACGATGTACTTAGGACACGGGTCTTTCAAGACACCCCGTTCGCCATCGTCATCAGACCCATCAGACAAAGCAGTAACGCTCTCAATAAACGCAGCCAAATGTTTCCGCAGACCTTCCTCCTTATCTATTCCACAAGCCTTCAGAACCCTGACAGCTCTCTGGGAAAGGCGAGGCATCTGGACCCTTTTAAACAACCCTACACTTGACGACTTCTTCGGTAACGCGGCCAATGACCTCCCTGAAAGACGTTTCTCACGCACGACTTTTAAAGGCTTCATGGGCAGGGATATTAACAACCTCACACCTGTAGAACATAGAAAACAACCCACAGCCCACAAACTTTTTTTTAACCAGTGGTAATAGGTACATTAGCCCATGACATCAATTTGGACGAACACAGAGCTGGCTATTGACAAATATGCGAGTGGTCCTATTCACAAATCTTACCGTGCTCGGGAGCCCTTTGAGGGAACTCGCCCTCCTGTCGCGCCACTGCGCCAATGTCCACGGACGATTCGAGGTTCTGGACCTCGGCCACGGCTGTGTCGCTAACCAGCTCGGTGGCAGCTGAGTCGCTTGGCAAGTCGATGGCTTCATGAAGCACCATTTCCCGACCGGTACTGAGGACAGATGCTCAATCACCCTGTTCGGCACCGCAACGGGTGGACAGAGAATCATGATCTTTCCGCTGTGGATCCATCTTGATTCTGACGGCCACCTCACCGCCTTCCACGGAGGATTCGACGTTCTGCATCTCGGTCATGCCTCAGTCGCTAACCAGATCGGTGGCTGCCGAGTCGTCACCCAACTCTATGGCTTCATGAAGCACAGTTCCCCGAGCGGTGCTCAGGACAAACGCTCGACCACCCTGTTCTTCACCGCAACGGGTGGGCGAAGAATCACCATCTTTTCGCTGTGGATCCGTCTGGATGTCGACAGTCACCTCACCGCCTTCCACCACGGGTACTCCGCCTTTCTCATCACCATGAACCCGAGCTTCCACCGCGGGTTCTTCTTCGTCTTCATCGTCGCCAAGAATGGGAGCTTGCACGGACGTCCACTGACCTCCCTTAACGACACCCTCTCGCGTCGTGGCCACAACCGAGCGACTGTGCAGAACCTCTTCGGACGTCTCGATCACCAACGCTCGTGAGTGGAGCCACTTCACGTCTTCACGAGCCGGCCCGTGTCGAGTCTCCTCTCCCCTCTGCACAACATGCGTTTCCCTCGGACCTCCTGCACTCTCGCTTTTAGTGTCCATGGACGCACCCTCCGAAGCATGACGTTCACACTCGCTACCCCCGGTCTCCAACACTTTGCGAGACCGCCAGCGTTGAGTCTCCTCTTCCCGATGTACAGCACGCGTTCCCGGAGAGCGCTCGTCTTCCCCAGGAGTGTGACGTTCGTTCTCGCTACCCCCGGTCTCCAACACTCCTGGAGCAGGCCCCTTTAGCACGTCGCGAGACTGCCAGTCTCGAGTCTCAACAAATGAGAAGGGAGGCGAGCAGGGTAACCCTGTGTCCAACTGAAGATGCGGGGGCCAGGACGTCACATTTTCTTGGCCCCGCGGAACTGTTGCGTGAGGAGCACTTATGGCGGAGGGCGACGTCAGCAAATCCGAATGTATTCAGAGTTTGTGGCGGTCACCCGAGCCGAGGGAACCGGAGGTCGCACCTTCGCTCCTTCGCAATGCAGGAGTCCCGCCCTCCAGGCAAAACGAAGACGCGCCCTCTTTCAGGAGAAAGATGTTGAGTACAGGAGACCTCTGCTGCGCACGGCGGGATGGACTCTCCTGGGCAACAGGAAACAAACTCCTCGCAGACAAGTGCGAATCTACTCGCACTTGATCAGACGTCAGGGTGGCCTCGTCTCGCATGTCTGAATCTCGACTCCCTACGCAGTGGGGGTCAGTTTCCATATACAGGGGACTCTCAGACGTTCTACGCTTTCCGCCCGACCCCTTCTCGCCCAACCCCTTCCCGCCCGACCCCTTTCCGCCCGACCCCTTTCCGCCCGAACCCTTTCCGCCGGACGCCTTCTCTACCGACGATGTCTCGCCCGTCCCCTTTCCGGCAAACTGTGAGCCGTCTCCTCCACCACCTCCGCCGTCTCCTTCGTCTCCTCCACCACCCCGTCCCGGATGCTGACCGGCCGGCGGAGGTTGCAGCATGCGCTAGTCAATGCCACAAGACGGTGCCGTTTCGAGTGCGTAGAAAGGCGCTCGAAACTCCAACATGTTGTTGGCGTACAACTCATGTAGCTTTTGTTGTGTATACGCATCGACGTTCGGATCGTTCCTCTCGGGGTTCATGAGACTCAAATGCTCCACCAGAGCAGTTCTTGCCTTTCTCTTAAATGCACCCGCTCCTAGTCTCTTCAATCCACTCCACTTGCCATCGGCCTCCTTTATTGCCATGACCCATATTCCATTCCTCACAGCAGGTTGGAATATCCTCGGGTGCCAGACGACGTTGTGTTCCCAGACATCCTCCGACGTGAACCGGTGATGCTTGCCGAAGAAGTAGAGTCTCTCATTCTGCTAGGGGTCATGGTTCACAGGGAGCCTGTCACAAGGTTCGTGATCATAGTCTCTCTCTTTCTCCCCGTCATCAGACAATTGGTCGTCGATTGGTTCGCCCCGAAACACACGCTTCAAACCGGCAGGGGACGTGCTATATCTCCGAGGGCCAACTTCCTCGTCATCACCAACCTGTCCAACCACCCGAGGAAATGGCATGGACTCGAAATCGAAGGTTTCGGAGTCGCTCATCTCCTCCATGTCTTCAGCGTCGAAAGGGTCCTCCTCGTCAAACTGTGACTTGTAGTTTTCGAGAGTGAGCGGTTCGGCCAGCGTGAAGTAAACGTGCTCCAGCCTTCTGAGGAAGTGCGAGACAGACTCCCTGGGTGCACCGTGGTACCCATTGAGCACAACGAACACCAGGTTCCTCCGTCGACTGTATTCGAGGTCGGTCGGACCAGGCGGTCCGGGTCCGAAAAGAAAGTCCCAAACGTCCGTCCTTTTGTTCCCCGACAATTTCCAATACATGTCACGTTTGGGATCCCAGTTTCATTCGCCGGTGGTGCGGACAAACTCGAAAGCATTGCGAGTGTCTGCAACACGTGTCTTCTCGAACTCGTGAAGGTAGTCGATCATCCTCGTTTCCTTCTCCAACGCGACGACGTTCCGACTGGTGCGGAGGAGTCCCCACACGACAGACGCATGCGCCTTCCCAAAGAAAAAAACAATTTGCCCAGCTTTGCAAAAGTTTTCGAGTAGACCAAGTAGACGAGACGGGTTCCGCTCCATCTCCCCGTAAGCAGGTCCTTGAGAACTTGTCACGCTGCCTTTCTCCCACATACTACGAGAGAACCTTTCCTCTTCCGCCACGTCGAAACACGCCACAGCCTGTCCTGATGGGTCCGATGAACACACAGGTTTCGAGCACGCCGCCACCGTGTGTTTGGCCAGACTTGGACCTTGGGAACGGGAAGCCTTTGTCGGGCTACTGGCCGGGTTGACTGCGTATGTGTTGTCTTCCAACTTCTCGCCATTAAATATCACGTACAGGCGGTCACACTCCTCAACCAGCATATTGCCTTCCCGGACAGTGGCCTGCTTTTGTGCATAACGTACCCACTTCCCTGTCCTGACGTAATGGACGCTAAGCCTGGCCATGCCTTTCAAGAAACTGAACTCCCAACGAGAGGGGAAAAATATCACGAGTGTCAGTGCGTTGGCGAAAGTGTTTGTAGAAGGCCTTGCAAGTTGGTGAAATCGTCTTCTTGCCAGTCTGTAAGGAGTGTGGGATCACACAAATCAAGGACGTACAGGTTGCACACGTAATGTCGCACAACCTCAAGGATCGCAGTGACATGACTGTGAGCTTGGGAAGGCGGGCAAGCGAAAGGAATAAGGCTGGTCACCCGGTTGAGGTCGGGCCATTTGATGTGCCTCACATCCCCGCTGACCCTGATCGTGTCTCAAACTTCTTCTTTCGTCCGTCGCAAGATGGAACGGACAGACTTTTCGAAAGATTTAGGAAACCTGTCATCATCGTACAATCTCTTCGCGTCGTCGATGGACTCCTTCTCGTGAGGAAGAGTACGTTTGCAAGTGTTCACGTACTTCACCGCGCCCAGGAAATGCTTTCGCATTTCGACCCACACCTGTTTCGTGAGGCCCTGCGGCCCGAACTCCTCCAGAAGCTTCCCCTCGGTCCGAAAAAATGGGCTCCCATGGCACCAAACACTTTCGTTCTCCTTCGTTTCAAGGAACAAGATGTAGTAGAACATACGAAGCATCACACGGTCCACTTTCGCCGTCGGGACCATTTCTTTAATTCTAGGTTTATGCTGACGCTTCATATGGCCGCCCGCAGATTGCACGAACACTCCCCTTAGTGCGAGAATGTCGTCGAGGATCGACAGTTTCTCGACATCGGTTATGTCGGCGAGAGACTGCCAACAGAACATGTTTGGCTCCTTCACGACCACGAAAAACTTGTCGTCCGCTTGCGTTTTCTTTTTGGTCGGAGGCAGCGGGACCCGGACCAGCCACCCCATCTTCGTTTCACCAGCCGCCCCTTTCATGCCAATTTCAGGAATTGCTTGCAGACCCGGAGATTTGTCAGGCATGTATTTACCCGCCCTCGACAATGGCATTTTGCCGTCGCCGCCCAACAACTTCCCCTCCGCCCATTTCACGTAGAACTCCATGGCTTTACGAAAAACGTCATCACCGGCCGTCACGACCGGCATCCACTGCCTCAATACATTGCCAACGGCAGCGACATAGTCCTTGTCGGAGATCGACAAATCTGTTTTTGCCAACGTCCAGTGAGCTTCGTTCGGACTCTTTCCCAAAAGCAGCTTCTGGAATTCGAAAAACTTTTGTTTTTCGGCCTCCTTCCCGGAAGGGTTCCCTAACTTCCCTTGAATGGCCATCGGCCTTGCTTCTTTCTCCCATGCCTCACGCATGTCCAAGAATGCGGCCTTCTGCGATCGCTGCTTAGACATCTTGTGTCTCGTGTTCTCGTTGAGACTGACCTGCCTATACCCCGCGAAATCTCGGTCGGAGAACCACACTACTCTTGCCGGCCAGGAGTGCATCTTCCACAAATCGAATATTGGCTCACACTCCAACTCCTTCACAGCAGCCACGGTGTGTTGTCCGTTAACAGGGTAATAGTAGTACTTTTCCTTGTCCTCTGGCTTGAAGTCATCTTTGTGAACCCTGTTAGCTATCTCCGGCCTACGCGTCACCGGCTTGTAGATGGGTGCCAGAATTAAAGGGTTTTTCGTCCAGATCTTCCCCCTTTTCTCGCGGTATTGACTCAGCATTGCAGCCTTGATGTCGTCCACAGTTTCCCGATTTAAACTGCGGTGGTTGTAATATCTTTCCCAAGACGGGATGTCGCAGACCTTCCTGGGGTCGATGAGCAGTTGGATGGGGAGCTCCTTCTCCACGATCTCTCCGTCATCGTTCCGCTCGTATTTGAGCCAAAACGTTGCCGCTTCGTCCCACTCCTCACCGACAGGCCGTTCGCCCCCGCTCGCCGCCTCAGCAGTCTTCCGCCTTCGAGGTTTCCTCTGGCCATCGCCTTCTTCAGCTGCCACTTTCCGTTTCGATTTCCCCGAAGGTTCTCTCTCGGCCGCAGCGCCTGGATCAACCGAATCTCCTCCACCCACGGCTTGTCCTTCGCGGATGGTCAAACCGCCGGGCCTCCTCGCTTTCTTACTTGCCGTCCCACCGTCTTCCTTCGTCGGCCTCTTTCCCGAGGCACATTCTCCGTCGTTACCTCCATCCCCGCCCATCACCGCCTCCGGTTTTCCTCTCACCCTCTTCATGCAGAGGGTTCCTTCCGCCACCTCCTCTCGCACCATCCTCTGTCGCTCGCTCTTCTTCTCCGAAGGAGTCTGCTCCCCGCCAGAGCTTTCGCGGACAGCGCCCATCCCTTCACCCTCATTCTCTCCGACATCTAGCCCCGATCTGCTTGAATCTCTTGTCGTCTCTTCTCAAAGCGAATACGTATCGCCGCCGCAACGGACCTTGATAATTTTCGGAGTACCGACCCGTTGAGTCCCTGTACCCTGAGAATGCAAGTCCGACGTGTTCCCAGGAGCATCCGGGCCGACCTGCGTGTGCTGTCTCTTATACACATCTAGATGTGTATAAGAGACAGCCTGTACCCTGAGAATGCAAGTCCGACGTGTTCCCAGGAGCATCCGGGCCGACCTGCGTGTGAACGCTGCGTCCCTTGACCTGACCCCCAGCGTCTTGAATCGGACTTCCGCGCCCCACTGCCGTACCTGGAGTTTCTTGAGCCAAGCCGGACGACCCCTCATAGGGTGGCAGAAGCCGGAAAACATGCTCTGGCAGAAGAACCGGACGTTCTTTCGGCACCATCAGCGCGAGATCGAGGTATTGCTCTGGCGATGGAAGACGCTTGCTGCCGCCAGCGTAAAGGCCTATGAAGTGAGAGCACAACAGCATGTTCGAGCCGTACCCCGCGAAACGCTTGATGGTCACTATCACACCTTTAGCACCTCTGATAGGCAGTCTGCACTCGTCGTACAAGCCGTTAGTGTGCAGCTTGAGTAAACCTCCAGGAGTCTTCGCGGACGAGACGACGGTACCGAGAGGAACAACGTTGACCGCTCCCCCAGCGTCTGTAACGCAAGTGGGTCGCATGAAAACAGCTGGCCCAAAAAGGTCCCCCTGAACAACGAAGTCCAAAAACCATTGTGCTCCCTTTGCGTGCATATACGGAGGAGTAGGTTGCTGTACAGGTCGTCCCTCCCCAGGGGCAGATGGTCCAGCGCTTGTGGATGTGTTCTTTGCAGACGCCATTGAATTCCCACCCGTTGACTAGCACGCCCAACCTCAGACCAACTCGGATGACTAATACGCCCAACCCCAGACCACTACAGAAGCGAAGTGCGAACTAACTCGGACTTAACGAAAAGGAGGACGAAAAGGACGTAAGAGATGGGTGTTCGAAATGCACAGGAATTCACAAGAATCGGGTGAAGGATAGGAAAGACAGAAGTTCAGAGGGAAGACGATAACTGTTCGGAAAGATTGCGACCCAACTAGATGCCCTCGAAACGAGTAAGATGTGGTTTGTCGACAAGTGCGAAGGGTGTCCACAAGAGAGAACTAACTCGCACTTCTGTAGACAAGACAACAATGACGACCCGCTGCACTAGGGGAAAGTGTGAACTAACTCGGAATTGTGAACTGAAGACCTGAAAGACGCACAAAACGAGTAAGATGTGGTTTATCGACAAGTGAGAACTAACTCGCAGTTCTGCTGACAGGACGACAATTGCAACTCGAAGTACAACGGCAAAGTACGTGCTGACTCCGAATTGTGGAACAGAAGTCTTGGTTTATCGACAATTGCGAAGAGTTTCGACAACTGCGAACTAACTCACAGTTCTGTAAACAAGATAATAATGGCGATGCGCAGCACTAGGGGAAAGTACAAACTAACTCAGAATTGTGGAACTGAAGACCTGAAAGCCGCACGGGTTGGGTTGTCAACTCTCCAACAATGTTGCTCAAAAAGTGCGAACTAACTCGCATTTGTGGAAATAAAGAACTGCCTTTAATGAAATATGTGTCTAACCTTGGAGAAACTACGAATAACCTCGAAGTTGTCACTCCTCGAACACTGTACGTCGCAAACTGCGAACTGACTCGCAATATCTCTGTCTCTGTCTCTCTCTGTCTCTCTCTCTCTCTCTATCTATCTATCTATATATATATATATATATATATATATATATCAGGTTGGCAACCTCACAAGGGACAGGTGAGCGAAAATTGAGAATTGATTCGGTGTTCAGTGTAGCAATATATCTCTATATATACATATATGTATCTTTATCTTTATATATATATATATGTAGATATCAGGTCGGCGACCTCACAAGGGACAGGTCAACGAAAATCGGGAATTGATTCGGTGTTCAATGTTGAAACTAGGTATTGATTCGGGGTTCGCCATGCACAGCGACGACTGCAAGTTGAGAAGGGGATCGAGCAACTTTATATGAACGTTATCGTGGCTATGGCGAAAGGTAATCGAGCTGTGGAACGAGGATCGACTATGGAGGACGGAGGTGGAGGGTGGAAAAAAGAGATCACAGCATGTCCACTGGCGAAACAACAAAACCAGGAATTGATTCGGGGTTCAACAGAACGCGGCTGCGGCGTTATATCCTGCAGGTACAGACAGGGCATGTGGGAATGTGTTCGGGCATCGGACACAGAATAGGACAACTCAAGTTATATGATTTTACCTTCGTTGTGTGTTGAGCGAGCAACCAACCACCAAACAACTATGGTGGAGGGATATCGAGCTAGGAAGAGGGAAGACCGAGGAGCGAAGAGCGAACCGAACACAATGTGGCAACTGCGGACGGAGCGAAGAGCGAAGAATGAGCGGGCTATGGCGGAAGGTGGGGGGGGTTAAAGACCAAATATCAGAACGCGCGCTGAAGCGATAGCGCGACTTGATCTGTGGAGCGCCAACAAAAGGGATAACTCGAGGGTTGCAACGCCTTCTATACTTTGTTGCAGCAGGCCTCACGTCGGGATCAAGGTGGGGCCGAATCGATTCGCATATCGCACCCCTGGGCCCATAAAACGCCATCAAGGTGGGGCCAAATCGATTCGCGTATCGCGCCCCTGGGCCCATAAAACGCCAGGGCCTATAAACGGTAAGGGGTACCGAAAATTGTAAGTCGTCGATCAACAATTTTCAACCGCGCAGAGGAACGGAGCCACTGTTATGCTAGTGGCCCCAAAATCTCCGTCTACTCCGGCGTGCAATGATGTGACAATTTTCAAAAACAAGGGGCAGGCAATGTTATTTTCGCAGTTGTAATCTGGACCGTCGATCGGCATGATCCGACGCACAAGGTCAGGCGCAAGAATCTATAAGGTGCGACGATTCGTTGTGCGCCGAGGCGGTTCGTTGCGCTCCGAGGCCAGGCGACGGTTTATTTCCCGACGAGGCGCGGTGATTCGTTGTGCGCCGAGGCCAAAAACACCGGAAATCTATAAGTTCCGGTGTCGCTGTCATTCGGACATTTTGCAAATGTCAACGGCATTCGATATCGATGCGCTTAGCCATGCACCATCGTGATCGATGCGCTTAGCTCATCGCCATCGCCAACGCACGCCCTGCACCATCGCCATCGATGCACTTACCTCATCGCCATCACGACGCAAAGCTATATCCCCCATCGCAGTCGTCGCGCTCGCCTGACCATCGCAGCGCTCACAATCGCCATCGCTCTCATCGCAGCGCTGGCCATCGCTACGCCATCGCAACGCTGGTACCATAGCTGCCATCACAACGTTGGTTCCATCGTTGCGCCATCTCTCAATCGGTGCGTCATCGCTATCGCTGCCATCGCTATCGCTATCGCTGCCTTCGCTATCACTGTTCCATCGCTGCGCCATCGCTATCGCTGTTCCATCGTTGCGCCATCGCTCTCCACCGGTGCGCCATTGCTGCGCAATCGCTATCGCTGTTCCATCGCTGCCATCGCTATCACTATCGCTTCATTGTAACGCGTTCCATCGCCGTGCCATCGCTCTCCACCGGTGCGCCATCGCTCTCCACCACAGCGCTGGCCATCGCTATCGAAGCCCTGGCCAGTGTTATCCCACCGCAGCGCTGCGCGATTTCTCTGTCCATCACCGCACGATCTCCCTCCATCGCTGAGTGACCAGTCTCCATCTCACTCCATCACTGCGCGATCTCTCTCGACAAACGAGCAACCTCCATCCTTGCCCCAGAGGCTCTCCATTACTCGTGCGCGATCCCACCATCGCCATTGTATTGTTGTTTCAGACCTTCGTCGGTGCAGCCGCCCATCACTATGGAATCGCACGAAACAGGTGACAGGTATGCTTAACGAAGGTTTAACTCGATGGAACTTATGTTGTGCAATAACAAATCTTGGTCATCGCTGTGCCTTCTTTCTCCATCGCTGCAATATTGTTAACTATTGTTGCGCGTCCTCTCTCCATCTCTCTCCACCGATGAGTGATCTCTACCGACCTTTCGTCATCTATCCCCATCGCTAAGGTGTCTTTCCTAATGTATCTCCTTCGTCATCCTTCTCCTTCGGTGTGCTATCTTTCCTAATCTATCTCCTTCATCATCTATCTCCATCGGTGCGCTATCTTTCCTAATCTATCTCCATCGTCATCTATCTGCTTCGGTGCGCCATCTTTCTCCATTGTTGTGCTATCGCTAACCATCGTTGCGCCTGCTATCTCTATTGTTGCGCCATGTTCTCCATCGGTGCGCAATCTCTCTCTCTCGCTGCGGCACACCTCCCAATGAGTTCGCAATCTCTTTCCCTTCCTGCGCCATCCACCTTCTTCCCCGGAATATACAACGCACTTTTATTATAGTCGTCTTTAGACTGAAAGATGACCCGAATTCAGCTGTAATGACCAGACGTTGTATTCGGGGGAAGACTGTGACTCCATCCATCTCTCTTGGTGTGCCATCTCTCTCATTCAGTGCACCATCTCTCTCCATGTATTTTCATCGATGGGCCTGCCCATCGCTTCACAATCTTTCGCCATCTTAAAAAATAGCACGACATCTTTCTTTATTTCTCTCTTGCGACGATCTGTGGCTCGTACTACATGCAGAACAAGCCGGAAACAACTTGCACTTGTACCCGCAGTTTCGTAATGGAAATGCTCGTTTACAATTGCAAATTCATTCGCTCTTAAACCAACCAACCCCTTAATTTGTCACTGTTTAGTCCATAGGTCAGAATTAACTCGCACTTGTACTCCCAATTTTGTAATGAAAATGTCCGTTTGCAAGTGCGAATTTATTCGCTCTTCAATCAACCATCCCCCTAAATTTCTTACTCTATAGTCCAAAAATCCCAGTTTCATAGTGGAAATGTTCGTCTGCAAGTGCGAATTTATTCGCTCTTCAACCAACCATCCCCCCAAATTTGTGACTCTTT